GATACGATTAATAAGTTTGCAGATGAAAGCAAAATTGGAGGTGTAATGGACAGTGAAGGTGGTCACCTCAGAGTACAACGGGATCTTGATCATACACACTTAATGGTAAAGTCCTGGAGAATGTTGTTGAACAAAGAGGCCTTGGAGTGCAGGTTCATAGCTCCTTGAATGTGGAGTCGCAGGTAGACAGGGTAGTGAAGAAGGTGTTTAGTATGCCTGAGTTTATTAGTCAGTGCATTACATGTAGTAATTGGATGTCTTGTTGTGGCTGGACCGGAGGTTGGTCAGGCCACTTTTGGATTACTGTGTTCAATTCTGGTCTCCCTGTTTTAGGAAAGATGCTATTAAACTGCAAAGGATGCAGAAAAAAATTTACAAGGATGTTCCTGGGGTTGGAGGGTTTGACCGAAAGGGAGAGGCTGAAAAGGCTGGGGTTATTTTCCCACACTGCTGGAGGCTGGGGATTGACCTTATAGAGGTTTGTCCAATCAATAGGGCATGATGAATAGCCAAGATCATTTCTCCAGGGTGGGGGAGTCCAAAGCTAGACAGCATAGGTTTAGGGTGAGAGGGCAAAGATGTAAAAGTGACCGAAGGGACAATGTTTTTCATGCAGACGGTGATGCATGTATGGATTGAGCTGCCAGAGGGAGTGGTGGAGGCTGGTACAATTACACCATTTAAAACGCATCTGGGTGGGTACATGAACAGGAAGAATTAAAGGTATATGGGCCAAATGTTGGCAAAAGCGACGAGATTAATCTAGGATATCTGGTGGTCATGGTCTTCCAATCCAAGATACCTTCTTGCCATTGTTCTTATTCCATCCTGTACTAACAAAGCTACCTCCCTTTCCTTTCGTTCCTGCAGCTACACTTCACAGCGCCACCAACAGCATTTTCCAAATCCATGACCTCTCCGACCAGAGAAGGACAGCAGTTACAGGGGAACGCCACCAGCTGCAGTCTGCCCTCCATGATACACACCATCCTGCCTTGGAGATATATTGCTGTTCTTTCAGACTCCCTGGCTCAAAAAACCCAGAACTCCCTCTCTATCAGCATTGTGGATGAACTCACATCTCCACAGACTGTTGCAGATCAAGAAAGCAGCTCATTACCACTTTCTCGAGGGCAATACATGCTGGCATGTCAAGTGACAGCCACATCCCACCAATGGATTTTTTAAAAAACTGGCGATGAAGACGAATTCCCCTCCCTTCCAGTCCACGTCTCTCCGCTTTTCAAAACCTAAAGACCTATATCTTCAACCAAGCTTTTGTCAGGCCTCCTAAGATCCCCTTTGACACAGCATTTAATTTGGTCAGATTCGTACGTTTATGTTTCTGAGATGTATCTTGGGACACTTGCCTAACAGAAGGTGTGATGTCAATGAAAGTTCTCTTTAAATCAAATTGTGACAGATTGGGAAAGCCAGTATTAAAATAAATACACAGGTAAATGGAGTTGAGTCACAGATCAGATATGACCCTCAATGAATGATTCATTTCTTTTTCTTTTCTTTTGTATTTTTTTAAATCCTCCTCTTCTCTCTTCCAGCCTCCGAACTCCTAGCCTTCAAAATTCCAGCCTCGGACCTCACGACTTCTGAACTCCTGGCTTCAGAACTCTCAGCCTTGGATCTCACGGCCTCCGACTTGCAGGCTCGGAACTCTCAGCCTCGGCACAGACCCAACGAGGCGGCCTCTTGGACTGTTATGATGGTCTGCCGGCCCAGCATGGCTTCGGCGTGAACTTCTGTCTCAAGGTGATTCCAGAGCATTCTCCTGGCCTCATGAATCCTGAGCTGAAGCCAGGCATGGTTGGGAGTTGAAGCCCGGTGCAAACTGGAGGCTAAGTGCCAGCATGAACTGGGTAGGAAGACCTGTTCTGAACTTTTTTCTCCATTTTATAATTTATTCCAATAATCTGCAGTGCTGGACTTTGTATTTTGACCTCAATTCTTCCAAAGAACTGTAACTGAAAAAGCTGTACTTGGGGACCTTTGTACCTAAGATGGCACTGTAAGTGGTGACTTGTACACTTAAGGGTCACTGGACCCAAAATGTTAACTCTGATTTCTCTTCACAGATGCTGCCAGACTTGCTTAGCTTTTCCGGCAACTTCTGTTTTTGTTTCTGATTGACAGCGTCTGTATTTCTTTTGGCTTTTATTTAGTATTTCACTGTATTCATTTGAGTACATAGGATAATAAAGCTAATTCTGATTCTGATATAAGAGATCTGAGTGATCCATTGGCCCCTTCCTGTTCTTATATTCCAAATAAACCAGAACCCAAACACAACTGATGAACAGAACGACATAAGAGCTGGGGACAAGACACGGCAACAGGAAACCAGACCTTGTGCAAAGTTTGTGAGTGGGGGATGTCTGGGGAGAATGTACAGAAAAACTGGAATAGGTCATTCAGCCCCTTTGAGACTGCTCAGCATTTCAGTTAGACCCAGACTAAAGGACAAATAGTCTCCTTTTTTCAGTGAATCCCTACAGTGTGGAAACAGGCCCATCGGCCCAACAAGTCCACACCGAACCACAGAGCATCCCACCCAGACCCATGCCCCATGACCCACCTAATCTACACATCTCTGACACTACAGGCAATTTATCATGGCCAATCCACCTTGCCTGCACGTCTTTGGAATGTGGGAGGGAACCGGAGCACCCGGAGGAAACCCACGCAGACACAGGGAGAATGCGCAAACTCCACACAGACAATCACCCGAGGGTGGAATCCAACCCAGCTCCCTGGCACTGTGAGGCAGCAGTGCTAACCACTGTGCTAAAAAACATTGACATTGCCCAGCTTCCACTAGGGTACACCACAAGCGATTATTGCTAGCGGTGGGATACAAACCCACAACTCAATAGAGACTGGAGCTTAAATCCAGCACCTTAGACCACTCAGCCACGCTACCTTTTTGGGCTGGAGTACCTTTCCCCATGTCCTTACCCCACCCCCATACACTGGGCCTTGTCATCACATGGACTGCTATCACAAACAACACATTGTCTTTGACTATTAGCAGCTGTTTTATTTCACTCCTTCATCACTGACCAACACTGATTGCTCATCCCTAATTGTTCTTGAGAAGGTAGTGGTGAGCTGTCTTCTTGAACTGTTGAAAGTGATATATTCTCTCCAAAGTATTTCATCACAGGATCCTTCTCTTCCAGGACCTCAGCAGTTTCTTAGTGCAAGCACTTCTCTTTGAGATAAGCCAGATAATTGGCGAAACAAAAGCAGAAATTGCTGGAAAATTTCAGCAGATTTATCGGCATCTGTAGTCAGGGTCTGGAAGTCGCTATCTGAAAGGGGAGTGGAGGTAGAAACCCTGAACACATTTAAAAGGTGTCTGGATCTGCAGCTCGAGTGCTAGAACCTGCAGGGCTACAGACACAATGTCAGAAAGTGGGTGAGGTTGGATGGATGTTTGTTTTTTGGCCAGTGCAGACACAATGAGAAGTGGTCCCTTCCTGCGCTGTAAATTTTCTGTAAATCTATGAACGGATTCACACAAATTAAAAAGAATACTTTAAAGCTCATCTCATACTTAGAATATTTTAAAGCACCAGAGATATGCTGAACTGTAATTTCAGAGTGAGGAATGACTGTTGGATTGCTCTCCACAGGAAGACAACATTTGTTGCTCAGCCCCTTATTTAGCATCAGCGTGTTCATATATGCAAAGAGTTTTGCTAAGTCAAGAACTCTGCTGAGACACCAATAAGTTTGTATTGGGGAAGGAATCACTTGTTTAACCTGCTTCACTTCGCACCAACTTGTTCACATCGATCAAAGACATTTTCAATGTTCTGGCTGTGTGAAGTGTGTTAAGAACAGTGATCTGCTGAGCGACAAACACACTCGCAATGAGGAATAAGCTAATCAGTTGCTGTGTGCGCAACAACACAAAGCCTGCTGAGAAACCAGTGAGTTTACACTGGGGAGAGCGCATTCACCTGCTCTGTGTCTGAAAAGGGATTCCCTTAGACATCCTTACCCACTGATACACCAATGAGTTCATAAGTGATGACGGAAATTGGATTCTGCTGTTGTTGCTGCAGTTAATCACATTCATAACTGAAACAGATTAATTCAGAGAATTGGGTTTTGTTTTCTTTCTGAGGTTAATGGCACTGTGATGTGACTGGAAGTCGTTATTTTAAAACAACAAATAAATCAGCTTTGTTTCAAACACACTGTGTTGTGTCCTCAGTTTCTCAAAGATGGCAGGAGCATGTTCCCTGAAATCCACCCAGGAAATGCTTTTAGCAGATATTCAACAATTGAGCACATCACATTAAATAATTTTCAGCAACGTAGGAGAGAGGGAGATTTTACTCAGGCAGTTATTGTGATCTGTAATGCCCTGCCTGAAGAGGAGTAGAAGCAAATTCAACAATAACTTTCAGCAGTGAATCAGATCTCCTATTTTAAATGAAGAGTCAGAGGAAAGTAGGACTAACTGACAGCTCTTTCAAAGATGGTCGTGTCGCTATCAGGCAGGAGAAGGGGTGATGCCCAACTCCTGAAGAATAACAAGGAATCAAGGAAGTTATAATGAACCTGTATCAGACACAGATCACCCTTGAACGGAGCGTTGTGTTCAATACAGGGAACCACATTTTAGGAAGGAGGTGATCGCTTTGCAGATGTTTCAAAAAAGAAAATTATACAAGGCTATAGAGCAAAAGCAGGGGGTAAGACAATCATTGGCATGGACACGTTGGGCTGAATGGCCTCTGTTGCATTGTAACCATTCCAATATTCTAATCAAAACTCTGAGGAATGGACAGGGGAGAGGACAGATTGGCAGCTTCTTCATGGATGGTCCTGAGCCACTAAAGCAACTCTATGTTAACTGGTCTGAAGTTCTGAAGAGTTATGCTGGACTTGAAATGTTAATTCCATTTCTCGCGCCACAGAGACTGCCGGAGCAGCTGAGTTTCTCCAACACTTACTGATTAAACTTAATCCAGCATCCACAGTATTTTGCTTCTATGTTAAGTGTTGTTTGATACCCACTTTTCAAACATGGAGGCAATGGTCTCATAGTATTATTGGTGGACTGTTAATCCAGAGGCCAAGATAACGTTCTGGGTTTGAATCATGCCAATGCAGATGGTGGAATTTGAATTCAATTAAAAAAACCTGGAATTAAGAATTTAGTGATGACCATGAATCCTTTGCCAATTGTCAGAAAAACCCATCTGGTTCACTAACGTCTTTTAGCAAACCGCCACCCTGACCTGGTCTGGCCTATTTGTGACTCCTGAAACACAGCAATGTGGTTAACTCTCAACTGCCCTTTCGGCAACTGGGATGGGCAATAAATACTGCCTAAAAGCTACTCCCACATCCTGTGAATGAATAAAGGAAAAAAAGATATTGAGTTCCCTTTGAATTCTTTGTCAATAGCTTTCCAATACCCTGAGGACTTTCTGAATGTATCAGAGGAACATTTGGAACAGAAGGAGGCCATTTAGTCCCTTAAGTCTCCTCAAACATTCAATTCAATCAGGACTGACCTTTATTTCATATACCTTTACCTTTGTTAAGCTCTTAACAAAAATCTAACATCTCCATTTTAAAATGTTCAATTGGCTCTCAGTATCCACAACCTGCCATGACCGGGGATTTTACATTTCTAATTCTCCACTTTGCTCTCACACTGATATTTCTGTGCCGCACTCACTGCACTGTTCCAGTGAAGTTACACATAAGCTTCAAGAAAGCACCTCATCTTTCAATTCAGCACTTTAAAGCTTTCTGGACTCACCATGGAGACCAACATTTTCAGACTGTGAACTCTGTCCCCTATTTTGTTTTCATTTCTCTTGTTTCAGTTTGTTTCTTTGTGAGCTGCACACCTGCTCCAGGCACATCTTTTGTTACTTTGTTTCTTTTCCAGCCCCAACTCCATTGTCTGTGGCCTTTCTGTCATTTAATCTTTCCGGTCTTCTCCCTTGTGATGGACCATCTTTTTGTACTCGCCTAACCCAAACCTTACTCAAATCCAATTACATTTCTTACGTTTCCCAGTCCTGATGAAAATTCATATACCTGAAACATTAACTCTATTTCTTTCTGCAAACATACTGCCTGAACTTCTGAGTTTTTTCAACATGTTCTGTTTTCATTCTGAATTTTCACAATCCTATGAAGAATTGTATGAAGATTTCACATTATCTCCAAATAATGTCCCTTTGTTCTCAATTCCCCACGAGAGGAAATAGCTTCTGTATCTATACAATTAACACATTCAACAGATTTTTGGAGAAGTATCAAGTTATATTTACATTTCAGGGTGAAGAAGCGCTGTTGGATTGGCTTATAACAAGGCTTTCAGAGACTCAGCCCCAAGCCTTGCTTCATTTTTTCATCAGCAGGTTTTCTGATTATAATTCAGTTTAACCGACCGGAGTGTTTAATATGGGATTTGAATGATAATTGCTGCTGGATACTAGACATGGAAAGACACATGAGGTTGCTGGGAGAACTGGACATGGCATGACAAATAGCTGCAGGAATGATTATTCCCACAAATCACCAGTTTCATTCAGCTCAATTTCACAGACTGCCTTTATATTTTTGTGAGTTCTCACTCACTGCTTCTATTTAAATCAATTTCACAGCGTAT